CTGTCCATCTTGAAACTCCATTGACATCTCAAGATATTGTTTCTTAAGAGAAAAAGCTATTTGGAAAATTCTTTTTCTTCTATATATCATCCAAATGAATAGCATCAAATAAATGTCTTTGAGACAGTGAGGGGAGATGGGGATGACGGGGATGCACAGTAGTTTTGGGAGAACACAATTATGGAACAAATACTGGACTTCAGGTCAAAAGACCCTTTGTTCCTAACTCTGTCCCACAGCTTTCAGTAAATTGTTGAGCAACAGACTCATCCTCTGGGTAGGAGGTATGCTTTTACAAAATAACCACACCCCATCCTTTTACATTACTGGCCACCTCCAGAAGTCTGTGTAGCAGGTTTAACTTTATGGTTTAAAAAAGTCATCCTTTGAGGCTGAGTGTGTGGCTCGCTGCAGAGAGCTTGCTTAGCATGTTCAAGGCCCTGGGTTAAACCATCAGCATTCGTCTCCACAAAGTAGCCTGGGTGAGTTAATGCACCTAAGTTCTCACAGCCCGCTTTCAGAATGTGGTCCCTCCAGCTTTGTTCAATGCAGGCATGGGACTCTTTAGACACGCAGCTAGAAGATCTCAAAGCTCAACTCCAGATTTCTGAATGAGCCCTGGAAGCTAAACTATGTCAGGGGCACAACTACACCTGCCTACTGAAGACACAAGTCATATAAAATTCAGGAAGATACAGATCTATGAGGTAATTAGCAAACAAGATATGGAACTTGAGATGTCCTATTTGAAATCCGAGTGGCTGGCTTGTTTTTCTGAACACTGAGTTTCCAAAGATACAGCCTGGTGATTTGCAGTGTTAGCTGCAAAATTAATTGTAGCTCAGCACAATTCACTCCATTCAACTTTTGCTCTAGAGTGACAAGGGGAGTTCAGTTCTTGATAGGTACTAGGAAGCCGCCTTTGGCTCTGATCTTGAAGTAAGGCTGGCTCTCTCTCTCTCTCTCTCTCTCTCTCTCTCTCTCCTTTTTTCTTTCTTTCTTTCTTTCTTTCTTTTTTAAGACATGATTTCTCTGTGTAGCAGCCTTGGCTATCCTGGAACTCACAGAGGTCAACCTGTCTCTACCTCCCAAGTGCTGAGATTAAAGGCTGTGCCGCCACCACACGGAGCAAGGCTCTTTTGCTTGCTAACTCAGAAGAGAAAGTTTAGGGGAGAAATTCAGCAGTAGATTACTGTTGTAAATACTGCTCTAGGGGATGCTAAACTGAACATGTTTCCCTTGTCATTAAAACAGAAGTCTGCTAAAATAGCAGGGTTAACAAAAAATGTTTATAACATGATTTTAAAATGGTATCTGAAGCCAGGTTGTGGTGGCACATGTCTTTAATCCCAGCACTCGGGAGGCAGGGGCAGGCAGATGTCTGTGAGTTCCAGGGCAGCCTGGTCTACAAAGCTACAGAGAGAAACCCTGTCTCAAAAAAATAAAAATAAAAAATGGTATATGTTCATTGAAACACATGATAAAAATTGTAGCCCCTGCTTGGAATGTGATATGAGCATTGGTGACAATAACTATTTGATATTGTTCATGAGTGTGTGCACATTTGTGTTTAGGTACTCATATACATGTGTGGATTCTAGCAGAAAGGCTTAGGTGTTGTTCCTCCAGGGCTGTCTACCTTTTTCTTTTTTAATGACAGGGTCTCACTGACCTGAAGCTCACCCACTAGGCTGGACTGCCTGGCCAACAAGCCCTCAGAATCTGCCTGTCTCTGCCTTCCCAGGGCAGGGATTACAAGTGTGTGGCACCATGCCCTGCTTCTTCATGTGGGTTCTGGGATGGAAAACAGGTCCTTGTGCTTGCAAGACAAAACCTTGACTGGCTGAGCCATCCAACAGTTTAGTTTGCACTTCCAGTACAGCCCAGGTAAGTACTGTGTTAGCCAGCTCTGAGTAATTGTGGAACCACTGTGCTAATCCAGTGTGACACCTGTTAGTCAGCAGACTCCGTCATCTGTCTACGCACTATTTTTGTTGCTTTTGCAAACACAAGAAGTCCAGTAGCACTGAGGTACGGAGAGCTGATATGAGCCTGTGGTTCAACTCCAAAGCAGTCTGAGAGTTCAAACCATTCACGTGTTTGTTTGTTATTGTTGTTGATGATGATGTTTTGTTTTGATGTTTGATTTTTCTTTTTTCTTTTTTTCCCCCCCTTTGGTTTTACGAGACAGGGTTTCTCTGTTTTGTTTTGGAGGCTGTCGGTCCAGCCCGGCCTCGAACTCACAGAGATCCGCCTGCCTCTGTCTCCCGAGTGCTGGGATTAAAGGCATGCGCCACCACCGCCGGCTTGATGTTTGATTTTTCAAGACAAGGTTTCTCTGTAGCTATGGGGCCTATTTTAGAATTCTCTTTGTAGACAAGGCTGGCCTCAAACTCACACAGACCCATCTGTCTCTGCTTCCCGAGAGCTGGGATTAAAGGTGCGCACCACCACCGCCTGGCCCATTCACTTGTTTTTAACACAAAGTGTTCTCCACATAAGAAAACAGACTCTATGTTATCTTTTTCTTCCCTATGGTCATATCTCTAAACATGTCCATCAGAACAGCACATAAAGGGCTTACAATATTAAGCAAGCTTGAAGGGCTACTGAGGAGAATGGGAAACAGTGGGGAACCATGTCTTTCCTGGTTCTGGTTCCAGTAGCACTGGCCTTGAATGCTTTGGAGGCGAACCCATGGAAACAAGCATTGGGACTCTATGTCTGAGACCCCAGGGAAGGAATTCCCACTCTAAACTCTTCATCAGGCCCCCCAAACAGATCCTCTACCAACCCAAAGCAGAACTAGTAGCACCAAGGAGAACAGTACTTGACACACAGCAGGGACTCGATAAATGTTTGTTAAATGCTGCCATCTGGGAAACTGGTGAGTAGTTGTGGAAATGACTCCTGCGAGCTGCTTATCTCGGTGACTAAAGCCTTTGTGTCATGTGCATTGGATGCATGCCCAATACCTAGCTCCTACTTTCTCAACCACGGTGGTGTTGACATCTTGGACTAGATAATTCTGTTGGGGAAGAAGTAGGGAATGCTGTTCTGGGCATTGTCTAGGACTTAGCTCTACCCTGGCTTCCACCCACTAGATCTCAATGGTGATCACCACTCCTCACAGGGTAACAGTGTCTCCAGACATCACTGAAAGTCCTGATGCCAGGGGATTATGTAAGATGACCCCTGGCTGCACATCACTTATGGTAGCTATCAGCATCAGAAAGATGACTCTCTCTCTGAATATTTTCCTTCATTTTTATTTTTAATTTTGAAGTTTATTTAAAAAACGTTTTGCCTATTTGTATGTCTGTGTACCGTGTGTGTGCCTGGTACCCATGAAAACCAGAAGAAGGCATTGTAGCCCCAGTACTGGAGCTGCAGTTGTGAGCCACCATGTGGGTGCTAAGAATTGAACTTGGGTCGTCTGGAAGAGTAACCATTGCTTGTAGCTGCTGAACCATTTCTCCAACCCTCCTTGTGGTTTTTTAATGGGCATTTCTTGATCTAGTTGTTGAAAGCATCCGTCTCCTGGCTTGCTTTCATAGAGTTCTTTGTGTGTACTCTCATATACCTAGCAAGAGCTTCCCCGGGAGTCTCTATGAAAGTTAAAATGACCTATTCTGCCCACGGGGAAGGAAAATATATAGAAACTAGACCTGCAGATGGCAAGGCTGATTTACAGAATGAACATGGCTAGACTTTGGGCCAGGAAAGAGGACAGACCCAAGTCCCTTAGTGGAGCTCATGTACATGTGAGCCTCACATCATCTTTTGTATTAAAAGGAACTATCTTCCTTTGCTTGCTACACATTCTCACATCTTAACACCAAACTTCTAAGGGTGTGTGTGTGTGTACGTTTGTGTATGTGTACATGTTTGAATCCATGTGCATTTGTGTGGAGGCCAGGCATAGAAGGCTAGCATCCTCCCTTATCACTTTTCTACCTTATTTGTATGTGTGTAGTGTATGTGTGTGCATGTGTAGTATCTATGTACATGTATGTATACCTGCTCATGGAGAGTAGGGGCTGATGGTGGACATCTTCCTCTATCACTTCTCTACCTTATTTGTGTGTATGTGTGTAATGCATTCCGTGTGTGTGTGTGTGTGTGTGTGTGTGTGTGTGTGTGTATGTGTATGCATTCGGAGGCCAGAGGTTGACATCAAGTATCTTTCAACTATCAGCCTTATCTTTTGAGATAATACCTCTCACGGAACCCAGAGTTGGCTGATTGGATAGATTAGCCAGCCAGCCAGCAGGCCTTGGGGGATCCATCATGCTTTTACATAGTTGCCAAGGGTCTGAACTCAAACCCTCATGCTTGTATCTCGGGCACTTTATCAACCAAGCCGTCTCCCCAGGCTCTCTCCCTTACTTTTTGAGCCCATTCCTCGCTGATTTGGCCAGTGGCAGGCCAACAATTCCCATGGACCCTGATGTCTCTACTTCCCCAGCACTGAGGATGCAAGCGGACATCCTCACACACAGCTTTTTGCTGGGGGCTCTGAGCTAACGTTATTGCAAGGGAAGCTCTTCGCCAACGAGCCACCTTCTCAGCTGCTGTCTTTATGGTCTTTTGATGAACATATCCTCCTCACCCCGGCTTTGTTTTTATTTACTACCTATTTATGTTACAAGTAAAACATGTCAGCACGAACTTCATGAGCGGGCTTTCTCAGCAACATCGTAAATATCGATGCTAGCTGGAGGGACCAGCAGCCTTAAGCATCCCGAACAGAGGGATGGTACAAATGAAAAACCCAGAACCTTAGAATTCTGACAAAAATCCAGCCAGTGGGCAATCTGCTTGAGAACAACTACACATCCATGTCCAAGGGTGAGGAATAATTTATGACAAAGCTCACAAAAAATTCTAATTTCATTCATGTTGCTACAAGTATAGCTTCACGCTTTTAAAAAATGTGGGCTGGTAGCATTTTTCTACCTCTCCTTCCATACAGTGTAGAGTGAAACACGTGCCCTTACCTCTCCTCCGGTGCATGGAAAAGCATCTGAGTATCTAGACGTGCAAAGAGCTCCCTTCTTGACAACATCATCTTCCAGGCCAAAAGTAGCCGAGCAGTTGGTTGCAAAGTACTTGTAAGGCTTCCACGTCTTTCCAAAGTCCTGGGACCGGTCCAGCACCATGGCTGCAGGTCTGGGGGACTTGAACACCATAATTAGGTGAGTAAAGTAGAATTCTGCTTCCAGGTCTAACTGGATCTTTTCTCTGTGCACATCCTCCGCAGACTGCCACCACGTACGGGGGAACCTGAAGGACGAGTCTGCCATAGCAGAGGGCGGGTGGGCCAGGTGAGAGTGGGCAGCGTTGCACTTGTCGCATTTGGGCTGCCGGCAAGTGAGGTCAGCATTCTCACTGTAGAAGCAGAACAGTTCGGTGGCATTCTGACCACAGGTGCTGTCTGCCCGGAGTTTTCTTCCCAAAGCCAGGTTCCCCATGCGAGGGTTGCAGGCCTTCTCACAGCGGGAATTAGCTCCAGCTACTCCACTCAATCCTAAGGAGGGGAGAGCATATGTCAATCAAGACAAACCCATTGGAAATAGACATGATCTGCTGTGTGCCTGATTTATCTGCAACAGTCAAGATGTCCTCCAAAGACCTTGGGCATTTCTATAAAGAGAAGCTGCCGCCAAACTGGACCATGAACACTGTTGGACACGCACAGTGATTCATGCACACAATTTTGTGTGTGCTTGATAGATGATAGTGTGTTCGTGTGTACAATTGCATGTGTATACAAGTGAGTGTACACAATGTACATGTGGAGGCCAGAATACTGTGTGTCTGTGTGTATGTGTGTGTGTCTGTGCATGTGTGTGTATGTGTGTGTCTGTGTGTGTATATGTGTGTCGGTGTGTGTGTGTGTGTGTGTGTGTGTGTGTATACCACATGTACACAGGTGCATGAAGAAGCCAGAAGAGGGTACTGGACCCCCTGGAATTGGAGTTATGGACAGTTGTGAGTCCTAGTATTCAGTGCTAGGAACAGAATCCATGTCCTCTGCAAAGGCAGCAAGTGCTCTCAGTCACTGAGCCTCTCTCCAGTCCTTCACCTTGCGTTTTCTGAGACAGGGTCTCTCACTGGCCTGCAAGCTGTCAAGCAGGCTAGACTAGTTAGCCAGTGAGGCTGGGTCTACTGGTCCCGGCCTCTGCAGTGTGGGGCTTGGAGGGCCCTCCCACACCTCACTTTTTGGTGTGACTCAGCATCTGGTGTTTGTGTGACAAGCATTTTAGCAACTGAGCTAGTGATCTCCCCGTCTCCTTCATTTTCTTTATTAGTTCTCTAGGAAATCCAACACAAGATATTTAATAAATACACGATGACACCTCAGTTCAGATGGCAATGTGTGGTGTCCATGTCTAATACTAACTAAATATAACTACAAAAAAGAAAAACCACCTCCAAACTACCAATGACCAGAAAGCTTACTGTCCCTGCTTTCTGCTTCTTAAGTGTCTTTTCCTATGGTAGGTTGCATGATACTTACCTGTTGGCTTAGTTGGAGATTGTTGATGGTCTGGCACACCAAACTGTACCTCTAACAACTGTCATGAACTAAACATCCTCTTAAAGAGACATACGCTTCCTCCCAATGCTCCCACCCACCTTAATGCTTCAGGAGTACTTAGAGTGGTAAACACTACCCACTTATTCACATTCTGGCTACATGTCATAATCCCTTAATTGGGGTTTGTCATTTTAATTGTGACTACCAGAAGCAAAAAAATTGTCCATTTAAGAAAAATTAAAACACAGAGGAAAAGAAGGGAAAGGAAACCAAAGCCCAAACTCCGGCTAATTGGATGTTTCTGTTTAAGAGACAGACCTCTGAATTGTTATCACCGGGGCACTGGGTGGAGCCAAATGACAGCTTTGACTGGAGAGGGGAGATTTCACACAGTGACAATCACCACCTCACAGGCTTGCAACCAAAATAAGGGGTTTCCTCGGGCATTATTTCTTAAGTGTCAAATGAACATATGCACCATGCCCAGACCGTTTGCCATTGTTCTGATTAGCGGGCACAACAGCTGTCTGGGGCCAGAAACACACAAACACTGTGTTCTATGACTCACCTGAGAAGCATTCCAGGGGGAAAAGCTCATACTGCCTGTACAAGTATCTTTGACTTGCAACACCCGCCTTGTGATGTCTATTTACAACCTCTTGATTGCTCCCATGGTTTATTTACTTATTTTTGTTTTTGGTCATAACATGGCTTGAAAGGGGGAGAGTTTATGAAAAGTTCACTTTTCGTGGGAGCGTGGATGGGTAGCGCACAATAAGGAGTGTGAGCTGGAAGAATTCAAGGGAGATCTTTAACAGTGAGATGTTTCACTGATCCTTGGGAAAAATAATGAATAAAATTTCCACGCCCTAATAATTTGGTAATAAATAGTTATCAGTGAGCAAAAACAGTGGCGATCCCTAAAGAGCTGACTGGGGCGAGGGAGGGGGGGTATGCACTGATGGAGGATGGTGACTCTCCAGCCAGCAGCTCTGAGGAAAGAGAGTGGAAGCAGCCCAACCCAAGAGATGCCTGCCACAATGCTCCCAATCTTCCAGTGGGTTCCTCTAACCACACCTTCTGCCTTCTGGAGCAAGTCAAGTCCATCTGAGGGAGAATGAAATCAGGGTGCCTCATACTCTTTATCCTGTACCCCACTGTGCTATACCGAGCCCAACTGAAAGCCAGGTGGCCTGCGAGAAAGAAGGGCGAGAAGCAGAGATGGGCTCAGGGACTCAGAAATAGCGAGCCTGGAACCGGTGGCCTAAGGGCAGTCCAAGAGAGCCAGGACCCTAGTGGGAGGGAGAGGGCATCTGACGGTTGCCCATAGTCCAGTTACTGAGCCAAGGAGCAGACCCGCCTCCGACCTCCTGCAGAGCCTCGACCAGGGTACCAATTCCCCAGGGGCGGTCAGCCAGCTCCGGGCAATCACCACCTGAGTGATCACCCCCCATGGTCCCCAGCAACGAGTTCTACTGCGTTGCAGCCACCGCCCCGGGGAAGAGGGCGCTCACCCTCACCCCAGGTGGCCCTACCTGGGTTCCCAAGTACACAGAGTGAGATCCGGGAAGGTGGTGATCGCTCTAACTGAGAAAGCGGTCTCGGCCCACGCAAGCTCGTCACTCCTCAGGCCATGGAGAGCCCGGGGATGGCGAGCTGGGTCCTTTGTTCCCCTCGCCAAGTGCAAAGGCAGTTTTTTTCTCAAGCCAAACCCAGAAAGAAACACTGATCTCTCTATCTCCTGCAGGGCGTACCCAGAATATCTGGTTATTCAAGGACATGTGTATCTCAGTTGCAGGGAAAAAAAAAAATCAAGTGTTTGAAAGTGCGGAGTCGCGGGCAAAGGAGACGGAACATGGCCACTCGCTTCATCCTCGGTAGCCGAGCTCAGGGCTCTCTGTCCAGGGTCCTCTACATCCCCCAGTCCCCGAGCTTGGGGGTGGGGGACAGGAGCAAGGGAAGAGGGGTGGGGGCCCGGCCGCGTCACCACCCACCTGCGGCCACCGCCGAGCAGCCCCAGAGCAGCAGCAGCCGTGCGCAGCTCCCCATGGCCGGGCAGCGGCGGGAGCGGGTGGGATGAAGCGGCAGTGGTCCTCGGGAGCACCCGGGGCTCTGTGGTTCTTCCTCCTCCCGGGGCGCCAGACTCGCTCAGTGGGCACCGTGGGCACGGAGCCGCGGGCCGGGGCCGCGCCGGGCGGCAGGGTGACCGTCGCGCACCGGCCTGGCGGGGCCCGGGCAGCTCAGGAGCGGCGGGAGCCCCGGGACCATAGCCGGCCTGGCCGCTGCCCGCAGAGCGGCCGGGAGGGCGGGTGAGCCGCTCGCCCGGGGCTCGGCGCCCGCAGCCAACGCTGAACTTTGCGAGACCTTTCACTTCCCGGCCGCCGCCGCCTCCCGGCCGTCCTCCTCCGCTTTTCCCACCTCCTGTGGCCGCTGCGGCTCGGTCCCGTCCTTCTCCATGGGCAGTTCCATGGGATGCATTTTTATTGCACCGACACCGCGGCGCTCCGGTGCCAGCCCTCCTCCTCCCCTCGCACCTCCACCCCTTCCTCCCCCCACCCCCACCCCCGCGCGCTTGACAGCCCGGGCGGTGAAGAGGCTCGGTCCAGTCGTCGTCACCAGCGCCCCGGGAGGGGTCCTGGCCGCCCCCGCTGTGCGCATCTCCCCGCATGACCTCGCGGGTGCCCTCCAGCACCCACGGGCCTCGCCTGGGAAGCAGTCTCCCACCTTCTCCAGGAACATTCCTGAGAGCAGTTGACTCTCTCCTGATCAGGTCAGGGCATGCCAAGGGGCTTAAAAACCCGCGAAACAGGCGAACTACTACTTTGCAAAATCACCCAGAAAAACAAGCCTACATCCCTCCACTCCACGGCATCCTTTCTCTGGGAGCTCCACGGTCTGGGTTCAGAACCCCCAATTCAGCCTGGGGTACCCGCACTGAGCGCGCACCAGGTGCCAAGTGTGGTCTGAGTCTTTGCCGCCTTTTGGGGGGTGCAGCCCAGCTAACAGCTGCTGCCTACAGGAGCCGAGGGTGTATACCAGATCTCTCATCAAACTCAAGAGTCTGAAAGTCCAGGATCCCAGACCAGGGAATGGGCTCTTTAAGAACATCCCAGTCTAGAGCAGGGACATAACAAAGAGAACGCCTGGGTCCTCGGTGCACATTTTTCAGAGTACCGGTGTTCAGGGGAACGATAATGTTATGAAATATCTTACGGGGAGCAATTTAGTAGCAACCACAAAGCAGCTAATTGTAGCCCAGGGCTGGTGTTTATGGAAGGAGATTAAATAGCACTTCAGCCTGGGACTTCTGGAACTGCTGTGAAAATATAATTCTACTTACACATCTCAGGAAACTGGCAAAAGTTAAGTCGAATGCAATTTTGTATTGCAGCATTCAGGGTTTGCCTTTGAATATTTTCCAGAAAATAAACTGCTTTTCAGATAACATTCAGTTATAAATCATCAACATTATCGATGGGACAATTGGAGCTTCGGGGACACTCGTAGATGTTATTTATAAAGACCCAGCTGGGGACATATAAGTTCCTATCTCCCAGAAGGAACTGACTTGAGGTTAGTATAAGCCACTTGGGAGGCGTTAAAATTATTCTTTTGGCCAATAACTGGAAGTGGCAGACGACGTGGGAGCCGCCATTAGCTTTGGAAAACAAACCCTGTGAGTTTTCAAATCCTGGCAATGTTGGAGCCTTCTTTGGCTCGCACAGATAATGCTACCGATGAAGTCGCTAAAATGCCGCTCCAACTGTTCTTTCTATTAAACAAACGATAGGAAATTACAACAGGCTAAGGCCCTTGGCCCAAATATTAGCCTACTGGCCAAGATAAAGGAAGAGAAAGACAGTATTTACTATTAATCTCTGAGTCAACATATTGAGGCAGAGCTAATCCATGTCTGGTTATGAATTTCCAAAGCATTTTCAGTCTTCACCAATGCTGCGAATTTCCCCGGTTGCTTTGTAACTAGTTTTATGCTCCTTTAAGAAAACTGCAAGCTCCTTAAATGGCAGCTAGACACTTAGTCTATACAAGACACAATTATGTTTTCTCTTATTTTGCTCATTATTCTTAATGGAAGACACTTGTCAGGCATGCAATAGATGTTCACCAAATGTTTTGACTGAGTTATCTCTAAACTATTGTTATATGCTAAGAATAGAAACCGAGGAGAAAACCAGCTAAATGAGAGTGCCTTCCAGCATTCTAGTGGAATGTGTGCTCTCTGTACCAATGCTTCATGTGTGGACTATCTCAAAAGAAAAGGTAGTGAGTATTCTAATAAATGCTCTTAGGATGCCTTGTGGTGGTTCCCACCTGGAATCCTCCCACTTGATAGTAGAGGCAGGAGGATCATGCTCTCAGGACCAGCTTTGGCTATATAACGAGTTTGAGGCTAGCCATGACTACTTAAAAAATGCTTTTCTAGTCTAAGTTGTTACAGATTATATTTTCATTTTACGGAAAGGACTCAAGAGAGTTGACCAACCTAAGAAAATCTTCTCAGGGATGAGGACATCACTGATTATGATTTTTGTTATTTGCAAGAACTGATCAGAATTTTCTAAGTGTCATGGATTACAGAGAGGGTTGGAGAAATCACAGAACTTCAACAGCAAATTTTCAAATGTCTTGAAATTTTTTAAGTTTATTTTTATTTTTTGTCTGCATCGATATTTTGCCATGGAACTGGAGTTACAGGCAGGTATGAGCTGCCATGTGGGTGCTGGGTATTGAACCCAGGGCCTCTGGAAGAGCAGCCAGTGCTCTTAACTGTTGAGCCAACTCTCCAGCTCCATGTCTTGATAAATTTAATTGAGAATATTCCTGACAACTTGGAAAGATGTTAAAAGGTCCTCTAATATCTTAAATAGATGTCAAAAAGTCCACACACCAAAGAACTTAACTCACAAGTGGCCCTGGTCCATATTTAAAATTTTGCCCCAATCTCAATGTGTCTCCTGGGGGTGCTTTCTGGGGCTTGGTGTATTAGGATAACATGCTCAAATGCAGCAGGATCCTGTTAAGGAGAAGGAATGAACCAAGGCAGCGTAGTAATCGAGAGGATGCTGAACCTGGAGCTGCAGACATGAAGACAGGTGCGTAAGCAGCAGTGTCTATCCCCGCTAGTAAAAGCCCCAGCAGTGTAGGGCCTGTTAGCCCAGAGATGAAGCACCAAGGGGCGATGAAGAGGCTGCTTCATAAAAACTCAGGACAAAACCTGATGACTGAAGCTGGGGCCTCAACTTCTAGCCCCACCAGGAGCTCTGCTTTCACCATGAAATCTTTGCCCACTGGCCATGCAGTTTTCCTTCTGAGCGTTCCAGTAAGCAAAAGAATCAAAGCATCCTTCTGTTTTCAGGACTCTTTTATGTAACTGTGGCGTTTACCTTCTTATAGGCATTTGTAACTATACAGAGTAAATACAAGTTCTCGCTCTCTCTCTGTCTGTCTCTGTCTCTCTCTCCCTCTCTCTCCCTCCCTCCCCCCCCATATGTTGATAGTAGGTCTCATTAAATAGCCCAGATTGGCCTGGCCTGGAACCTGCTATTGACGTAGCTCAGGCTGACCCCAAACTCTCTGTTTGTTCTGTTTTGTTCTCTGTTGTTCAATCAACACACACACACTAACAAAAAAGTTAAAAACTAAAAAATTTTCAGAATTGCTCAAACGAACTTCTTCTCCTAAATAGAAAATAATATCTACTTCCAGAATGAAGCTATTCCACTCATGTGTCACTAGTCTACATCAATAATGAAAGGGAGGTCTTTGTAAAGAGCCCTATTTCATTATATCTTGTATCCTTCTTTAAGGGTCAAGAAACATTATCTCTTTTGCCCTCGTTGCATGAATGTGTGTGTGTGTGTGTGTGTGTGTGTGTGTGTGTTCTAACCCATAGAGAATTGTACAAAGAGAAAGTGACAGGAGAGATGTCACCACTAAAGTTGGATCATAAATATGTAAACACCTGATGAATGTAATGGTGCAAGGGCCAGGCTTGTGGAATCTCGTTGCTAATTAGTCTTCTGTGGATACAACCTTTTCTCTCTTTGGAGCTGGCAGACCTTGTGGAGAAGGCTGGATGGAGAAATGTTCCCACTGAAATCATCTTGCATTCCGTTTTCTTCCTGGCCTCTGCCCTTCAGGTCCTTTAGGAACATCATTTTAGGAATTCCCTCAAGCTTTAATCTAAGCCTCTTGCCAATGGCACTGTTTCTCATTTCACGTGCTTCCTGGCTGCAGCTGCTCGATCCCAGGGAGGAGGAGGCCTTTGAAAACACACCGGCTCTTCCAGGAAGGTAACCGGTACCTTTCTTCACAAAACATGCTCACCTGTCCTCTCCTGTCCTAATTAATGAGATGGAACCGAGAAAGCAGAAAGCAATCAGCTCATGCCTCTGTTACTCGTGCAGAGATGGCCACTACCAAAGGCGCTGCATCCGCCAATGCCGGGAGCCATGCTCCTCTCAAAGACTGTCAGCTTCAATCACATTAGGTAAGAGCTCTTCCACTGAGATACACACCTCCCTCACACACACACCTTCCTGCTGTGGAATAATCCTTCTGCACATGTGAAAATGTGTTGCTCTCATTGTTAATAAAAAGCTGATTGGCAATAGCTAGGAAGGATTTTCTGGGCAGAGAGAATGCTGGGAAGAAGGGCAGAGTCTGAGGAGTCTCCAGCCACGTGAGAGAGAAGCAACATGGGAAGTTCATAGATGAGATAAATGAACCTTGGGGCAGCACATAGATTGATAGAATTGGGTTAATTGAAGTTGTATGAACTGGCTGGAGATAAGCCTAAGCTATCAGGCAAACATTTATAATTAATATTCTCTATGTGGTTATTTGGGAACTGGCTAGTACGACAGACAAGTTTGCCTACACCTTCCTTTTTTTATTTTATTTTGAGACAAGATTCTCTAAGTTATCCAGGATGGTCCTGAGTTCAACATTTCAACTGGTAATCCTCCTGCCTCAGCCTCTTGAGTAACCTGGAGTTACAGATGTGTGCTGTCAGCTACTGCTTTATATTTTAATGTAGGGACCTAAAGAGAAGAAACAACCACTAAAGGTCTTGAGGATGAAAGACTAGTCAATATGGGGGATTCCCTTGATATATATCTTTGATATAGTAGGGTAGTGGTTAGGAGCATGAAATATGGACTCTGATGTTTCGTGGTCTCCTGCTTACTGTTTGACCATGGGCAAGTTAGTTGATGGTTTTGTGTGTCCTTCCTAAATTTCTATATGGGGATGACAACAGTATCTAATTCATAAGGAGGTTATGAACATCACATGAGTTAATGTTCAGAAAAGCACAAGACATAATTTTGTATTTGTTAAATGCAAAACATAAAAATGTAAGTCCATCATATACTCTTGACCTGACTTGAAATTTCATTTTTGAGTAATACACAGGTCGTCAGTAGGAGAAATAGTGGCCCTGGCTTAATTTTAAAAACGACTTTGTGAGAAGTTCTCTGCAGGAAATAAAAGCATGAAGGAGCCAACCCCCAGCTGGAGGGATGAAGGAATTGGCATTAAATGATCATCATAAATAATGAGGGCCATCTGCGTGACTGTTGGATTGGAACTATCCACTGGACCCTGCCTGGTAGATACAGCTGAGGTATTGACTCCTTCTTTCCCTAAATCTTTTTAATCTAATCTTTTCTTATATTTATTTTATGTCTGTTGGTGTTTTGCCTGCATAAATGTCTGTGTGAGGGTGTCATATCCTCTGGAACTGGAGCTACAGACAGTTGTGAGCCGCCATGTAGGTGCTGGGAATTGAACCTGTGTCCTCTGGAAGAACAGTCAGTGCTCTTAACCACTGAGCCATCACTCCAGCCCTCTCCCCACCCCCCTGGATCTATTCTTAGGAAATACTTCAACAGTGAGGGATAGAGGCCCAGCTCTCCATCCTTGCCCATTGTTATGCAGACCCGGTAAAGTCATTCATAATTGTTGAGAGCTCATGACTTTAATGACTGTTTCACTCCTTCTTCCACAGTGTTCCTGAGTCTTAAAGAAGGTGATATAAACTTGTCTGGGGCAGCACATTCAACTGTCACTTACTCTCAGCCCTTAGTCAGCAGAGTGACTCTTTGAGGCAAGCTGCACTCCCATGATGAGGCATTAGAAAAGTTGAATAACTGAGCCAAGTTCTCCACAGCTGGGGAAATGGACAAGTTGGGGTTTTGTGTTGGTATACATGTTTGTTCATGAGTGTGCAAGGACACATATGTGTATGTGTGTGTACAGAGTTTAGAGATCAAACTTAGGGGTCATTAGGTGGAGCAGCTGTCCACCTTGTTTTTTGAGGCACGGTCTCTCACTATGATCTGGGGCGAGGGTACAGGCTAGCTTGAAAGATCCTCCTGTCTCCGTGTCCCCAGCCTTAGAAGTCAAGCATGTACCATCATGCCAGGCTCTTTACATGGGCACTGGGCATCACAGTGGGCACTCTACTGACTCAGCTGTCTTCTCAGTTGGAACTCGGGCTTTGAACTCCTGTGTGTCTGGCAGAGCTTTCCCTACATCGCCTCTTAGAAGAGCAGCGGGCAGGGTACAGGTTAAGGGGAGTGGTCTGCCACTAGCTGCCAGCTCCCCCTTTGACAAATGCATTCAGAGTGTTTAAGCCCTAACGGTGACAGCTTACCCCACCAAGCCCATGGGCTCGCCACCATCTCTCTTCCTCACCCCCAGATCTCACTTCATTTATCTCTAGCTGTCTATGAGCAAGCCTACCTAGACACCTTAAATTCAACATTGAACTGAGCTCACTTCAACTCCAAAACTAAGCATATCATCTTCCTCCTTCAGAGTGTTTCCCTTACAATCTATCTTAGTAGACTTTAACTACTATTCATCAGCATAGAACTACAGTCTCATCTATTATCTTCAAGAGAAGGGAGCTTATGAATACTTACCATTAGTATTATCATTTTACCTCATTAATAATTTTGCAGTAGAGCATCCACATCGAGGCTGGGGAGATGGTTCTGTAAGTAAAGCACCTGCTATTCAAGCATCAGGCCTGAGTTCAGATCCCCACTCCCATGTAAAAACCACATATGCATCGACGATCTCCAGGTTCAGTGATGAGACCCTGTCTCAAAAACATAAGGTAGAGTGCAACATCTCCACACATAATACCTGTGTGCACACCCCAACACACACACACACATTAGCAGAGGAAAAAATGGTGGAAATAAATCATTTAGACAGTCCCTGTTTCTCTCGTGTGAAAACTGAAGCCTACTAAAGTCACACATTTAGAACTTGCTATCACTTAAGCCTGATTCATCAAGCTGCTACAGCTAGCTGGGGTTCATGGGAGAGAGGGGGGTTCACAGAGTTAGCTTTCTCTCTGCCTTGATTGAAATTAAACAGGTACCCTTTTTCAAATTTCTATAGAACACCCAGATTCAGCAAGATGGTCTACATGTTCTGTGGAAGAATAATTCAGCAGTCAGGTAAATTTAATTAGGCCAGACTAAGTTAAATAGGATCTCTCAGACATTTTAATACTCGTGCTCCACTGTGAATCTCCCTTCCAAATGGATACACTATTATATTTGATAGAATAGCATTTAGTTGCATGACTAAGCTGTTTATCTTAGCAAAATGGGGCTTGATTTTCCTCACATGACACAAATCAGGAAGCATAGAGTCGAGCAGTGTCGCTATTCAAAGAAGTCATGGGGTTAGTATGGTTTTCTTCCTCATGGGCACAGTATGGCTGCCCATCTACAGGGAAGATAAATGGGAAAAGAGAAGATAAAAGAGTGTGTACCAGCTGAATCTTAGAAGAAATATATTTATTCAGGCATTAGCCCACATGTGCGTATGTGCACCATGTGTGTGCCTGCTAACCTCAGAGATTAGAAGATATTGGATCCCCTGGAACTGGTGTTACAAATGGTTGTGAACCACCTTGTGGGTGCTGGGAATCAATTCCACGTCTTCTGCAAATAGTACTCTTAACCACTAAGGCAGCAGTTCTCAACCTGTGGATCACAAGCCCTTGGAGGGCCAATGACACTTTCACAGGGGTTGCACGTCAGATATTAACATTACAATTTGTAACAGTAGCAATGAAACAATTTATGGTTGGGGTCATCACAACATAGGGAACTGTACTAAAGGGCCATGGTATTAGGAAGGTTGAGAACCACTGCTCTAAGCCACAATCTTTTTTTTATAGTTATACTTATTTATGTGTGTTTGTTCATGGAGGTTAGAGCACAACTTTAGGGAACTGGTTCCCTCCTTTCATCATCTCCTTCAACTGCACAGGTTCAGAGCATCCGTCCCAGGCCCTCAGGTTTGGTAGCAAGCTCCTTTGCTTCCTGAGCCATTTCTCCAGCCTGACCTTAAGACGCTTTCTCCTAGAGGCCTTGCCCATTTCTTTATGTCTGTGTACCCAGAGCAGGGTCAGTTAGCTTCTCCAGACTAAAAGAAAGTCCCTTAGCCAAGTCAGGATTCTATTAAAAAGACAGGGAGGTTGGATGTCACAAAAACATGGGTCTGTGCATGTCATCAAAAGTTAGCAATTTCACCCTAATTAGCATATCCCATGGCTCCTTGCCCCTTGGCAGATGGATTTATGCTGCTCGGCTTGGCATTCAGGCTTTCTATGCCGGACCAGTTTGTCCGGGCTCCTTGCCACCCATAGTGAGCTTCCTGCGGTGTCTCCTCTCCTTCTGGCTGACTCTGGCAGGCCCTTGGAAATCCAGTCCTGATAATAACTGCTGTGACATCTTTCTTCCTCTCTTCCCTGCTTCCCTCCTCTATACTGAATGAAAACAGGAAGCAATATTGAATACATGCTTTAAGTATGATGATGGGAAACACACCTAGGAAACAGGCAAAGGACTAAGGTGTAGTTCAATGGTAGAAGTCTTGTCTCGTGTGTATAAGGCCCTAGGTTTG